GGCGGGCTACCCGCCTCACTGGAGACGGTACGGGCCAGGGTTGTCGATCCTGTAGATGCCTCTGTACTGCTACTTGGATCTAGTTATTGCGTGGACAACGCGAACGTTGTGGACTACATTTGCGGCGACGCAGCATTCAGGTCGCGCGTCTATACGGTAGAGCTGCGCGAAACCAGGAAGGACAAGATGAGTTGCCTGTTGAGACGTCTCTTTGCAAACTCTTTTCCGAAGTTGGTGAACCTGACAGTCGTGGGCCATGTCACGGCGCGCGATGGGCATGGTTATCCTCGCATCGAATGTCCGACGGTTGAATTAGCATGGTTTCGCAACATGGTGATGCTAGTCGCTCCCTCAAGCATTCGCTACTTGAAGTTGGACAGGCAACACCCGTCGCTGTCGCTGGACTTGGATGATCTACTAGACGCGTTATGCGCATGCTCCTTGACGTTGGACATTCTCGACCTTCGCACAAGTTACACAGTGAAGAGTGATCGCAGCAAAAGGCCACCGGTGGTGTTGTCACATCTGAAGATGATATGCTTCAGGCCTTCCGCCGGCATCGATTCTTGGACGAAGATCGCGGCGTTTTTCCAGGACGTGCACTACTCCCGCGGTCAACCCGATCTTCCTCTCCTCGACCTTACCCTGAACATCGGGGCCGATTCGGATAACCACCAGAGCAAGGAGGCATTCGACGCAATGGCCTGTGCCGGTACTCCCGAGCCCAACGTCTTAAGCGTGCTCGTCCTGTCTCTACCAAAAGGTGGCAAGCAAGATGCTCTTTGTCTTGAGTGGCACACTTTCCACCCAAGGTATCGCCAGGGTCGCCGCATAACGGTTCGACTGAGACTGAACCTGCAAGACGGGGGTCCTATGTCGACGATTTGCCGAGACGTTCTTCAAGGAGTTCCTGGGCAGTACCTGGTGGACTTGGAGCTACATGGGCGATATGAAGTGGTAGAGGATTCCATTCAAAGTGTGATGCAAAACGTGACGCGGGTGCTCTATCACGATATGCAGGGAAAGCGAAAGGAAGGTAGGGTCGTGAAACGGGTGAATTGATCAATACAGGCTGGTGAGCAGACAATGCGAAGCTGAATCCGAGCCTGATCAGCACAAGCGCTAACTTACTTTCATAGCTTATGCTGAGAGAAGGACATAGTGCATCAAAGTCAGATGTATATAAAATGCGGGGGAGGGTGCACTGAGTGGTGCTCTTGTGGTGGTAGATAGGGATGGCCGCTTTGTAACTTGTTGACAGGGATCATCCATGGTTGCAGCCTGTGTACATAGTGCTCGTGTATGTCATCGTATCTGTACTACCGGGAAGCGAAACGTGAGCCGTCAGATGGACAGTGTACAGGACATATGATGTAGGATTCAGGTGCTTCGGCCGATTGCTCGGTTTGATCCGGAATGCACGCGCATCAAGAGGCGTGAGACTCATTTCGCGGGCAGGTTAACGAGCTTGTCTTGCTTGACCCATCACGTCGTGCACCCATTGAACACATTCAATCCTTTTGAACATCAGCGTCCCTTCGCAGTGGACTGTGACCAGACCTATAGATTGAATCTCGAGTGTGTTCTAGCGGATGTGAGCGTCCCGTAGACATTTCCTTCAATGCGCATGATTGACCATTGTGCTTGTAGAATAAGTAGCGAGCCGAGTATCATGAGTGTAATACCCCAACCGCCAGCTATCCACCGTCTACCTGCTGAGGTAATAAGGGATATCATTCTGGAATGCGACGATGAACGGCCTATACCCGGTGTCGACAAACCTCGCAAAGCGATCTTCGATGCCGTACAGAATGAGATGACCCTGGCCAACGAGATGGGCATAGATCTCGACGAGGAAGAGGATGCTCCTGACGATAGACTTCTTCTTCAAGAGGAGATGGTCGAGCCCAGCCCTCTCAATGGGAAACTGGCGAGCTTGGGATGGATCCGGCTGGCGCACGTCTGTCGTCGCTGGCGCGATATCGCAATGCAATGCCAATCTATATGGGCCAGACATATTGGAAGCCTTCCCAAGGCATACTCCCGGATGCTGGAACTGTCTGGAGGCACCGCTCCTGTTTGCCTGTCCATGTATGGCTCTAGTTATCGCGATGACTATGGTCCGGTCCTCCAGGGCTTTCTTCGCAATCCGCTTCTGCGCGAGCGCATCATTGAGATGTGCATCATCGAAACACGCGCTTCCGCTCTTGCCACGTTATGGACCGCAATTGCGCGTTGCGACCTCCCAAATTTGAAGTCGCTAGTCGTTGTCGGCAACGAGGTCGAGGCGCGACCAGACGATATGGAATCACCTACGCTCACATGCCCGCTATTACATTCGATGCGCCTGGTTAACTTCCTAGTCAACCCTTCCACGGCCAACTTGCGGCGATTGAGTCTCAAGACACAGAGGCTTGTACACGAGCAGATACCGCCGTTCGCCATCCACGCCACCGATCTGGCAGACGTGTTGGACAGATGTAGTAGCACGATACAAGAGCTCGAATTGCAAGTCCTTATTGTCGATCGGGAAGATGGCTTCACGTCAAGACAGCCTATTACACTTCCGAGCCTACGCTTACTGATCTACGCCGAACCTGATGCACGAGAAGAAGATGAAAAGCTACTTCCGCTTTTCTCGATGTTAAGATACCCGAATACGACTGTCGTGAAGATTGGACTGGAAATCGAGGACTGTGTTTCTACCCCACAAGGCGTCGAGCTATTCAGGGCGCTGCGCATTGCCGGTACACTGGACCCGGTTACGTTGACGCTTGAGATCGAGGACTACGACAGCGCCAAATACGCGTACTGCTGCAAGATCCAGTACAATGTCGTTGCTCGGAACGAATTCGCCAATGTGGTCATGACACCGGGATCACATACTCTAGCAGATCTTCTCCGTGTCTGACAGATAATGACAGGCCCATGGACACCGTTACTTGTGAATAATGACAGGTGATCACCGAGCGATATATTTATATATATTTATATAATCATTATATCTGAAAAAACAGCTGGGGGTTTCTCCTGGCACAGGTCACTGGCTTCCCCTGGCTGGGGAAATTGCTGGTATTGTTAAACCGGGAACCATGGGAGATGAGAACCCCTTCAGCTGTAGGCGAAGTGTGACATGTTCACCTGATCATTGTAACCAAATCTGATGGCAGTGTCACACACATTGTTACACTTTGATTGGCCTGGAATACTTTACATTGATAGCCCTTTGGCCACTTCAAGCTGTACAGACCTCTTTCCCACGCAAGTAGCTGCTGATTATCACTATAGTACACATACCACCACTCATACGTCAATATTGTACATCTATTGTGGTAGAAACTTCAAGTGTGCTGTAGCGGCATTGGCAGTGGCCCACACAACCTTTGCTTGCAATTGACATAAGCCGACAGGGTTTATGACCTTCAAGGAATGTGAGTTCAGTTTGCATCGCACTAGATGAAGTCCCTGCTGGTGCAAGTGGAAAGTTGAACTGACCTTGGAATACTCTGAGCAAACGATAATCTGGGATACAGTCCATGTTTGCCTGACGATACAACTGCATCAGTTCTTGGCTAGTACATTGTCAAATTGTCGAATGGACGGCCTTCGTGGGTTTGATTCCCTCCGCCTGCATATATGTTCCGCAACGTAACTTTTGTTTCTTCCATGCGATTCCCGAAGTCCTCCTGTAAACTCAAGGGAGGTCGTTTGGCCAGCTTACAGCGATCGTTGCGTCAGTCATATCACCAGAGCCGCGGGTGAGGCGGTGCTTCAGTTCGCAATGGTGATGAAGGCAGTCACTCGCGGCGATCCTGGTGATGTCGGGTGCATCCCATATAAGTCAGAATTATCATGACGATCACCGCGGCGAATGCAACTACCGTGATCCCCAGGCACTGGCGACATGGCTGATGCTCAACCAACCTAGCACCGCAGCTTCTCACACCGCCGGTGTTCAAGATCCCGGGTGGCTGTGTCACCAGCGGTCAAAGGTGCCACGGTGCTTGGGCAGATCGCCAAAGAGCGCAGTACCGCCGGCTATATCGCCAGCGCCGCCGGTTATGCGTGGTCCAGCTTGCCAGGGCAGGGCGTCATCCTGGTGTTGTCTTGGGGCCACCGCTGCGGATCAGAACAGCCAGGTGTCGGTGCCTGGTGCTAGTGAAGCGATTCTAAGCCACCGGCTTGGTTGCGACTGAGATCTGGTCGCCGGGGCCTGGTTGTTCTCCGTCCCCCTTGGTGATGACACCCTGCTCGAAATGCCCGCAAACACCACCAGGAGCATTCACGGTGACCCTCTTTATCACCGGTACGAATTCAATCACCTAGGACCCCCGGACCTGGTGATATGAACGATGCTACGATCGAGAGATCATAAATGCGTGTTCCGGTCCAGCACATGGTTGACTGATGTTATGGCCTCGGTCATGGGAAAGGATTTCCAGCCTGCGTCTCTCACCGAAACCCCCACCACC